TACTTGAAAAATCGATGCACTTCCCCTTCAAGCCACAAGTTGTTTAACGTACCCGCACGATTATCGACCTCTCTAATCTCTTGGATAGTGACCAAGTCTCTATGTGCCAGTGAAGACAACATAGCCCCCCCCCCCCTCTTGAATAGTCCCCCCCCCCTTCCCGGCTTATAAGCAAGCGCATGTGGACGTTTGGTGTTCTTTATGATTACAGTGTAATACATCAAGAAACTTGCTATGCAAACTTGCTATGCAAACTTGCTATGCAAACTTGCTATGCAAACTTGCTATGCAAACTTGCTATGCAAACTTGCTATGCAAACTTGCTATGCAAACTTGCTATGCAAACTTGCTATGCAAACTTGCTATGCAAACTTGCTATGCAAACTTGCTATGCAAACTTGCTATGCAAACTTGCTATGCAAACTTGCTATGCATTCCGACAGACCATCACATCTCATTGAATTGAGAAAATGTAGAAATCAATTGCCTAACTTGGTCAGGTTGACAGGAACTATCCCCATGTTTGCATGTACATGTAATCATTAGACGAAGCCTTGTAGGGTCCTCTTCCGTTTACACTATAACTGAACTATTCGTGTGCAAGTCTGAAGAAGATGTTGGACGGTCTCTGCTTGAATGATAGCTACACCATAACTCAATGCTTAGAGCATCGCTGTCCTCCAGCGAAGGTCCCTGGGTGAAGTCCTGGTCGTGACAGTCTTAAGTTTTCTTCAGACTTTTCCCGTTTACATCTTTCCCTGAAAACCATTGGATATTGGTGTAGTGTAGAAACTTATTATACTGTGCCTGGTCTGTGTCGTGTTCTTTCTTGTGTGAGTTACAGTTTAGACTGGTGAAGATCTGAATCACGGAACACAAGACATGAATATTTTCTATTCGCAGTTCAGTATCAGCCATAGTCACCACCCATGACCGTAGCACACCCACCCGGTCCGGCTCATTTCGACAACGCCAACACACCGAATACGTGCACAATGGGGATCTTCATTGATGATGTTCGTTTCTGGTCGTGTATACCATTAATTTTGGTCAGCCCACCTAAAATCCTGGTGCTACAACGCTGCCAGGAATCCTGACAGCTCACTATCAACCATCGACGTGTGCTGCCAGCAATGACTTTGTCTATGCGTCGGAATGCATCCATCCACCACGTTGGTGTTTCCTTCATCTTCAAGACGTAGATGCAGTATACTACATGAACAGATGCTGTACACATTACGGTACAACATGAATTACTCCAAAGTGTAGTGCAACGGGATTTGACCCTTCGTTGTGACTTCATTATCCACACTTGCCCAAATAAACCCTGAAGCAATCTCTTGCAATGTTGTATCCAGCTCTGTTCTAAGACCTTCATTCAACCTATTAATCAGCTACACCGACCACTCTACTTCTGGGATATTTTTGTCCCTGCTATTTTAAAAGATTTTACGAGTTATGACTAGTTTTTCACCATAATTAAATTGGCTCACCATCCGAGCTATTTTATAAGCTTGTGAAGAAGAGGTTGTAGCGACTTCGGTGATCCTTGAGCAATTCTTGAGGAATACACATAATTCCCTTCTTTAGCGAGAACAATTCGTTTAAAGTTTTCATTTATGTTCCAGTACGCATACGTATTCACTGTTTTGTGTGTGTGTGTGTGTGTGTGTGTGTGTGCGTGCGCGCACGCGCGTACGTGTGTGTGTGTGTGCGTACGTGGTGAACTAAGTTCATCAGCCTTGCAAGCTGTTGACTGGTGTAATCCCAGCACAAGTTGTATGTCTGACACAGTTGTTCGCTAGTATCGCTTCAGCGATGGGCATGTCTGAGTCTGAGTCTGCGAGTGTACATGTGTGTGTGTGTGTTTGTGTGTGTGTGTGTGTGTGTGTTTGTGTTTGCATGTGATAACAGAAGAGCAGACGTTTCTGATAGGTGCAAATCTGTAATGTACATACATGCGATGAACATGTTCTGCATTTCATCGCTTGCATAGGTGTGAAGTTGCCACCACTCTCCAGAAAGGACTATAAAAGAAAAGTATCGATAGGATGGTGGGTTGGGATCGACTCAGCTTCTTGAGAGAATCTATGTACAAAAATCTCGTGAAAAATTCAAAAAGAAGACCAGTGCTCTGTATTTCTTCTTCGAGTTCTTATTGTGCCTTCTTGTAGATGTTTTGCTGTAGGCATGTTTGTGTACTGGCTGTCACATTCCTTTAAAGTTTCTGCTGAGACATATCACTAGACATGCATGCAAGGCTGTAAACATAGAAATATCAACATGGACTATGAAGTAGAATTCCAGGTACACACACCACGTGACATCACATGACTCCATTCACAGTCCCTGCTGCATGCTGGTCATCATTTCAGTTCTACATAGTCATTGCACTCGAGTCCTGTAGCGAGTCAGTCTAGTGACATCATTACCTCCACCCTGACGTCATAGTGATGTCATTATGCATCGTGTTGTAATTCATTCTATGACTATGATAAGATCACCATGTAACGTGTCACTGCAATGTACATGTACATGAGAGTGCTGTAGATGTTGTGGCAGGTGAAGAAAAAAGTTACACGTAGCCAGACTCGAACTCACCTGCACTTTTCCATTACCAATCCTTTGAATCACGAACTTGACCACTCGGCCACACATCCCAATGTTGTCAACATCTTACCTCAAGAGATACTTCAATTTTTACTCTACATACCTCGGGAAACGGGAAACGCCCCAAGTAATCAGTGTCCGACCACTGGAGATCATGGCACGCCCCAAACACAGACACAACACACAGACATAACACACGCTGACAGACACAGTTTCAACTTGCAATTCGGCAAAATCCTGCTTCCGACACGACGACTCCCCACATTTCCACACCAATGAATTGAATACAGTGTAACCCAATACACCACACCACCACATTGCGCTCTTGGCCGATCCAAACTCTGCACTCACATCACCATCACCACAGCGAGGACAATTCCGGTATATAGATTGATATTGACAATGACCCTCCAGACAGCTGTTTCGCTCCTCCTGAGCTCATCAGTGGAGGCATATGATGTTGAATGTAAGAATAATAAGAATAGACTGATCTTTATAGGGCTAAATTGGCGCAATTGCGCTTATTCTGCATAGACACGTGGCAAACCCTAAGTGACAAACATGACAAAAGTGATAACAAGGTCAGGTGATAACGACACGCGCTCAATCTTCTCAACTTGTTAACATAACATCACATCATTATGCAATAAGCCATGGCTGGTACTTCAGAGTCCGCTCGAAAAGCAGCATACAATCATGTATTGTACAGGTATGCAACACACAGCTGAGCACTCTGACAGTCTGACAGTCTGAGCAAGGCCGGGTACGCGGATTAGCGGGTCTGACAAGGGACGAGCTCGAAAATTACACGGAATCTGTTGCCCAGCACCAATTGCTGTCTCTAAGGTGTGGGTAGACCTTTGTCTTGAATGACTGAAAATGTGTTTTGTGTGAGCGCTGCGACAGCAGCCTGTCAGGAAGGGAGTTCCATGCGCCAATACAGCAGTACGGGAACGACCGCTTCACGACGAATGGAGCTGAGACAGGGAGCGTGTCTGACAGTTGAAAGGCGTGGCTAGTGGCATTATTGTGCTCGTTCCTGGTTCTGGTTCTGGCTGGAGAAACACGACGCGGTGGCAATACAGCAAGTAGCTGAGGAGGACCAGTGATGAAATGCAATTTGTACATGCACGAGACCGGAAAGAGCAGCAACAGTCCGGCAGACAGCCAGACTGGGGAGAATTGCACTAGGGCCAATGATCCGCAGTGCGCGGCGTTGAACACTATCCAGACATTGTGTCGTCTATCTGCTCACTATCCCTATCCTGGTACTGCTTCCATGAGACGGATCAAGTCGATTGATGGATCTTAGCCTTCTCCTTCTGCTGCTCGCTGCGGCGATGTCGTTCCGAAGCATTATGACTTCATGCTCTTTTTGGCATCACTACAAGGTGGCACACTTCACAAAACAACTTTCCAGTAAAGATGGTCGGAAACTATTGAGGGAACTCCGTAACTCTAGCGGCAGGGCTGATATGCAAAACCTTCTTTAATATAATGTTTTTTCCTTGAGTCAGTCTTGTCCTGGTTTGCATTGGCTCTGAGGTCCGCTCAAATAATCCTGTACGCGATATTCAAGCTCCTAACCATTTCGGCAAATATTCTGGTTCACTTTCATCCAACGGGACTCTGACACATTTTCAACCATTTCATTTGACTCGTCACCCTCAGAGCTAGGTCAGCCATCATCCATACCTGACCGCTGCTGCTAAATCATGGCCACTAGAACTGAAGTGGAAGGAATATCGACTAAAGTGAATATCATTTTCTTTCGAAATGAATAACATAAGCAAAGGTGATGAAGTACAGGTTTAGTAGGAGTGAAACCTAGAAGGTTGTGTACTAGCTACTGCGTCGGGAACTGACTACCCAAACCACGTGACTTGCAACTGTACATGTACTTGAAGTAGCATTTTGACCTCGCAACAACACAATCATGATTGTCGCGAGATCTTGTCCTGAACTAAGTGTTACTTTAGCGGATAAACATACTCTGTTGATCTAGCAGCAGTGGTTCTGCATACAGCTAGCTGCCAATAGGTAGACAGTGTAGATCTACATGACGTGCTGCAGAATCTGATGTACATGTAAGTCGCACACTCGCGATAAGTCGCACATTTTCTGTTCCAGGACAGACACGGTGCGTGACTTATGCCAGTTATGGCGATTACATGTACCTACTCAACATGCACATGGACATCTCCCAATCAGGTCACAAGTGACCATGGTGACCCAGTGTTCTTTTTTCAAACGGGTCCAAGTACCCCTCCCCCGCCCCGGCTGACTCGGCCCTGGAGCAGAAACTGGAGTCAGTGACTATAAACAATGCAAGCCTAGAATTACATGTGTGTGATTTCCATCACATTGATTTCTGAAATAAGCACGCAAAGTGGAGAAGTGACAAAAGTCATGATCTGTTCAGGCATTTAAAAAAAACAAGGAAAGGAGATGAAGTTCAGCTGCCAAGTTCAATACAGGGTCAACAGAAGTCTCAGCGGAAGCAAAAATGTGAACAAAGTCAAGTGAAAAATGAAAAGAATACTGTGCAATTGTCACAGCAAATAGAGAGGTGCGTTATGGCAAGCCATAATGATTTTTAAAGACTAGGGACATTTATGTACACATGACTGTCAGATGTAGCAGCAAAAAATAAGAACAAAAGAAAGGTGCTCTAGAGTAAGCCAAATTGAATTTTCAAGAGTAGGAACATGTTATGTATACATGTACAGGCATGTATATGTATTAGCAAACATACCAGCAGTCTTGGCAAGCACAGCAAACAATATAACAAGATATGTATGCGCGCACGTGCTCGCGTGTGGGATTGGAAGAGAGGAGGGTGGGGACAGAGGTGGGGGAGTTGCTGTTTGAGAAAATATTCAAAAAACACAGTCGATGGAAACATACCAGCAGTCTTGGCGAGCACAGCAAACAATTATAACAAATTATGTATGTGGGCAAATGCAAAAATGTGAACAAAGTCAAGTGAAAAATGAAAAGAATACTGTGCAATTGTCACAGCAAATAGAGAGGTGCGTTAGAGCAAGCCAAAATGAATTTTAAAGATTAGGGACATTTATGTAGAGATGTAGCTGGAAAGAAATAAGACCAAAAAAAAATGCTCTAGAGGAAACCAAATTGAATTTTAGATAGTAGGAACATTTTATGTATACATGTACATGCATTTATGTATACAATGTACATGTATTAGCAAAAAAACACAGTCGATGGAAACATACCAGCAGTCTTGGCAAGGACAGCAACCAATAGAACAAATTATGTATGTGCGCACATGCTCGCGTGTGCGCGTGTGGGATTGGGAGAGAGGAGGGAAGATGGGGAGGGGGGTGGGTGCAGAGGTGGTGGAGCTGCTGTTTGAGAAAATATTCTCAAGGACGGTCACCTTCAAAAGAATACAGTACATATGGAGCATATCCACAACTGGTGAGCAAGCAACTCAAGAATACAATATGATACATGTGTAGATGAGGAAAAAGAACACACGTTGCATAGGGCAGAGCAGTGGCAGGGGAAGAACGACACAAACAAGCATACCGGGACACGGGCAACGAGTTCTGTCCGCTGTGTGAGTATGACTGTTGTGATGTACATGGAGTGCTGGGAGAATGCAGTCTTGCACAATCTGAACAGTGATGTACATGGAGTGCTGGGAGAAAGCAGTCTTGCACAATCTGAACAGTGATGTAACAGACATTATGCATATACACACATACACATACATGCATACACATACACACACACACACATGTAAACACTCACAAACACACACGCACACACACACGATGTACACACACGTACACCAACAGATGCACACAAACACACACAAATCAGACACAAGAACATACAAAAACACACCCACACATGAACACACAGGCTCCCACATTTGAGCGCCCAGACTCGAACACACCCATGCCCTCACCCCCCTCCCCCCACACACACACAGCCACAAACACACACACACACCATTTTGTTGACCATTTGACGCCCATCGCCGGAGGCAATGATAGCGATGCTACAGCAGAAACCATAGCAACTTGAGCTCCAGCTAGTCATTGGACGGTTTGGTAGAACGTAATGCAGTGTGGAGGTCAGCCATCCCTTGCCAAGTTGGCAAGGAAAGATTTGATCAGGTGGAGATAGACCTGCGGTCAAGTACGAGATCTATTTATAGCACCGCTGCTTTCGCCATGAATTAGAATTGTTGATTTTTTACTTCTGTATGAGCCAAGATCTTGCCCACCCCCTAAACATACACACACACACACACACACACACACACACACACACACACACACACACACACACACCATTGGACGCCCATCACCGGAGGCGATGATAGCGATGCTACAGCAGAAGCCATAGCAGTTTATGCTGGGATTGCACCATTCAACAGCTTGCAAGGCTGAAGAATTGACCCCCACAATTCAGCCTGATCTACACCACACACATACACACATACACACACACATACATACATACATACATACATGCACACACACACACACACACACACACACACACACACACACACACACACACACACACCTCAGACCTCAGACATGCCCATCGCGGAAGCGATGATAGCGAACAGCTATGTTAGACATAGCAACTTGTGCTGGGATTACACCACACACACACACACACACACACACACACACACACACACACACACACACACACACACACACACAAACACACACACACACACACACACACACACACTAGCACATGGGTGGCGGAAGCGGTCCGGTTGGTTAGGTCATGGGTAGACCAACTGTTTGTCCATTAGAGTGTGTTGACTGGTGAGTAGTAACATGTATGTATACCCGCTATATCAGACACAAATTACCAAATACTATGGTATGTGCAGACTAATGAAAATCTGCTTGCTCCGCTCCTGTAACATACATGTAGAGGTGAATGTATGAGAAATACAAAACCACACAACAAACTTACCACATCATGACTAGACTTCCTACTATAGTAGCCTTAGCATGGTGTTGTGCAGATCTTGCAAGTTGAGGTTTCCCACTGCTGCACACAGCTTTCTGTATGCATCTCGCTCTCCAGCACGGATGTATCCAATCAACTTCAGGTGATGACTCTCTACACCTTCATATTGTTCAGCACGCTTTAGTTCCCGAAGGGTATCAAAACCACTCAGGAGTCCTTGTGCCTGAACGCTTTGCCGCAGTACATCACAAGATATCTTGTACAACTTTGGCAGTATATGTGCGGTGAATGAGTCATCCTCAAATGGATCAGCTGTGAACAGAAAACAGAAAGAGAGGCACACAATACGTGTAGTTCATTTTCGGTACTCTACGAGTGCATTTTGTCATGAAATACCTAGGAAGAACATGGTCAAGATAAGGTAAACAAGTTGAAGGAGTCATGTGATCTTACAGCATAGCAGAATGATGCAAAGATTCCAACGAAACACCATAGGATTTGCATTGAAATGATAGTTTAAACCCAGCGGGAGAAATGGAGGTTAATGCCTATCCACACAGCACACTCTAAGTTGTAACATGCTGGTGATAACCACTCATTCTCTTGCCACCATCGTCTGTTTATGCATTGTGCATAGTTGATTCAAGGATGGTAATAGGGTAAGTGGATGCAGATGTCAGAAAAGGGAAAGTAGAGTTGGGAAAAGCAGAGATGGATGTGGAGGAGAAGAACGGAGGTGGATGTGAAGAGGGTGGTGAGAAATAAAAATTATTAAAGAAATGTGACCTGGCTGTAGACTGAGTTTTTCACATGTACATGAGCACCATCACCATCTAGAATCAAGGTGTACATCCATCACTACTAAGCTGTGGGAGGTGAGTACATCACACCCATCACGAAGTGGTCAAAAACTACTGATAAGGTAACATAACCATAATATGTTGAGTATCACTATCTGTCTCATACCTTCACTCTCTGCTACAGTCAGTGGTGATGCTGGTGCTGCTGGTGGTGGTGCTGCTGGTGCTCCTACTGGTGCTGCTGCTGTTGCTGCTTGTGCTGGTGCCGGTGCTGCTGCTGCTGCTGGTGCTCCTGCTGGTGCTGGCGCTGCTGCTGGTGGTGCTGCTGTTGCTGCTGCTGGTGCTGCTGTTGCTGCTGGTGCTGGTACTGCTGCTGCTGGTGCTGGTGGTGCTGCTGCTGCTGGTGCTGCTGCTGGTGCTGCTGCTGTTGCTGCTGCCGGTGCTGCTGGTGCTGCTGCTGTTGCTGGTGCTGCTGCTGTTGCTGCTGCTGCTGGTGCCGGTGCTACTGCTGCTGGTGCTACTGTTGATGTGAGCAACTCTGCTGCTACCTCAGCTTCTGTTAAGACAAACAAAGATAAAGGGAATAAATATGCAAAAAAGTCGTAGAAAGATTTCTTAAAACGTGTTGTAAATCGCAGGAAGTTCTGTCTAGGCAAGTGATCATCATGAATATGAAATAGCAGAGATTGTGAAGTAAAACGGACTCACCCTGGACCAGAGTGTAGTGATCGGAGTCCACGATCAGCTTATCCGTAACACGCATTGCATGGAGGTGAGATCGTAGCATTCCCACGCTGTAAATCAAAACAACACATTAAATACATAGACACAGAAACACGCATACCCGCATAGCGATAACATCATACACACACATTCAGATGCGCAGGCTCGCTTGCACCAACGCGCACGCACACACACACACACACACACAGGCACACACAGGCAAATTTAAACACACACACACATACACGCACAAACATAAACACCCACCCACCAACACACCCACCCACCCACACATGCACACACCCGCGCGCACACACACACACACACACACACACACACACACACACACACACACACACACACACACACACACACACACACACACACACACACATACACACACACACATACATACAAACACACACAAAAAACACACGCACAGGCACACACAGGCACACACACACAAACACACACACACACACACACACACACACACACACACACACACATACAGAAGTAGAGATGAAAACCATTGTCATAAATACATACTTTCCAATGTCTGGTTATTAACCATAGTAACAGATGTGATTGCAGAATACAATGTGCACTTCATAGGTACTGCCGAGTACAGTGGAGTTCTTAAGAGGCATTTCCACTAACATCCATTCATTACAAAGAGAAATGAAACCAACTAGAGAGGAATGTTATACTCACCAGGGATTCTGGCCCAGGAATGCCGTATTGGGTGCAGTCGAGAACCAATCATCCGCCAATGGAACATCTGTTAGAGGACATTTAGACAAACATAACACATACCCTGTACACTCCCTAGCGATCAACTCTTCAACTATCAGTATGATCATATTTTCAAGTAATGTTACCCCATAGCCTCATATAATCACCATTATTAATTGCATCTCTCTGATTGGACAACGGCCACCGTGAGAAATAATAATGATAATAATTAAGTACAAAGAGTTTGTATGCAAGACAAACACTGGAAGTGTGGAAAACAAAGACTAGAACAGGAACGGACTCGGATGGAGAGCCAAGGATTAATTTAAAGAAAATAAAGAGGACCAAGGAACTACAAGTTGCTAGTGGTGTTAGTGGACATTATGGCGTAACTTGTAGTTCATAGTAAAGAAAACAATCAACAGACCAATCAACTAGTACAGTAGTACAAGTTATGACATAATCTCCACTAACACCACTGGCAGTTACTAAACAATCAGCTCATGCCATAATATTGCACGATACTGAGTCGATTGGTCCATTTTTCTTTGCTATAAATATATCCTTGGCTCTTTATCCGAGTCCAAACTTGTAGTTCCTTGGTCTTTTTTACAAGTATATTTTCTATAGACCAGGAACGCTGATATTAGAGAGGTTCCGCATAACGTAATTACGTTAGTAAAAACGTAGTCGATCTACGGAAAGTCTTACGTAAACTGCATGCGCATCTGGGTTCCGCCATACAGAGTTTTCAAATCACGTAGCTGCCCTGGGCAACTCCGAACGCGGCAGTGTACGACCAGATCGACATGGGTAGAGAGTCATAAATTTGTATCCCAATCCACTTATGGACCAGCTACGTTATCAGAGCCCTATGTACGTACTCTACGTAGACAACTTCCCGTAAGTGGAGTGCAAACTCGCGAATTCACGGGTTTTTCCCACCCACTAACGTAAAGTTGCTCAACTTTACGTAGTGCGGAACCTCTCTATTATCACATTAGACTGGAGACTGTGTATAAACATGGGTGCAAGTATTCTCCATTGTTTCTAACAAACAAACAAATCAATACGGAAAACCATCATTACATTCAGATTTTGACAATGGGAAATGGTCAAAGCTCCTGAAATTGAAGGTTTGCTGCGTATTTTACGCATTGACTGCTTTTCCAATTAGTACTGTATGCTTTTAATCCTAATAGTCTTTATGTAGTTTTCAAGCTAAATGTGGAGCATAGCAAACAATTATACTCGATATTCGACCTTCTGCCACAGCGCGTTATCTTGGCCTCATTATTGACCAACACCTCACCTTTGAGGATCAAGTCAACCATGTATGTACATCTGTTTATAAGAAGATAGGAGCATTCCGCCGCTGCCGCCGTACAGTAGACCACACAACTAAGCGAATATTTTATTTATCCCTCATCCAATCCACTATTGAATACGCCAGCAACTCGTATGCTCACTGTCTTACACCATCTTTATACTCTCGCCTTGTTACTTTAAGTCATATCAGCATGAAACAGGTTTTTGGTCTCCCTCGCCGTACCCCGACTGTCTTTGTTTTGCGGCACGCTAAGTTATACTCCCTCGAATCTCGTCTCAACTTGAGGCTTTTTATTTTTGTTTTCCGCTGTATTCATCAGCTTACAAGTCCTCTTCTTTCCTCAATGTTCACCCTCCAGTCGGCTGCTACTTGCACCGAGAGGCGCACTAGAGGGCAATCATTCTCTTCACTTTCTTTGCCCGCTGCTACCACTAGATATGGCATGTTCTCCATTTCTTTCCTTGGCGCTGATAGGTGGAATTCTCTGCCTGTCTCGTGTCGTCAGGTTGAGCATCTATCCGTTTTTGTTTCGCTCTGTAAAGAGCACTTAGGGTTCCCTGTAACAAGACGGCAACGTCTGTAGGGCCTTCCCTATCAAAATAATAAATTCTACTACTACTACTACTACTACTACTACTCTTCAGGCCGGTTTAACATCAGATTTTGGAGCTAAATCGGTAAAAAAAAAGAATGGAGATGGATATTGTCTGGATTTAGTGGGCACAGAGCTTATAGTACAGGCTTCCTGATAGCGGAAATGCACAATGCACTCACTGTCGGCCTGACAACGAAGACGTTCTTGCTCCTTCAACTGCCGCTGTTCATAGGTGATGATGTCCGGGAATGCTTCCATCAGCTTCATGAGAATACACACGTGCACATACATATACACCAACACACCCACATACGCATGTACACACACACATGTACACACACACATGTACACACACATGTATGCAAATGCACACACAAACATGCAAACTCATACACACCCACGCGCGCGCGCACGCACACACACACACACACACACACACACAGATTCACACACGCATACACACACACACACACATACACACACACTTAGCTTTGCATAACTTAGGTTCCTTGAGAGGCTAGAAAACTTAAATTATTTTGTAGTCTAGCCAAGGTTGTTCTGGACATTTTACCAAGTGAAATCTAGTTATGGAAATTGTACCAAGTGAAAACAGATATTATCTTAAATGCATTGTTGCGAATGACTGATATCATCTAAAACTTCTTGCTTCATAAGGAGAAGATTACAAACTAGAAGTTCATGATATTCAATTTTGATATGATCAAACAAAACACGCACCGTTCTCATTCAAGCCACTTTGTAATTTTGTTTATGAATATTGACAGCAGAGATTCATAGTTACTGAAAACTTTTAAAAATTCTTATTCCGCTCACCATGTTCTCATTCTCCACCATCATCCTGCAGATCTCTCGGTAGAAAACGGAGAATGGCGAAGAAAAGCAGTGCTGAGCTAACCTGCTGTATAGCACAGTAGATGTGTGACGATGAGATTGTCGGCACCATGCCAACAACACCAGCGAGGCATTCAGCCGACTGGGTCCAGCGGGCGACACTGATTGGGGGCCACCAAGTCGGCTGATTTCCCTCTCACTCACATCTAGGCTTGATTGGAGATCGCTAAGGAATGCGGAATCTCGCAGACTCTCCAGGCGATCAGTACATGTGGCAGGAAGCATACTGACATGCGTGGCAGGAACGTGATGAAGATCCTGCACCGAGTCAACGAACACGCCGCTGGCGTCCTTGACATCTTTGCTTTGCACACTGCTTGCGGCAAGAATGACGGCTTCGGACGAGTAGGAAGCAACCACTGGACAGATGGCAGCTGGTGAAGCGGATTGCTGGATAAGCTGACGCATGCTGCACAGGCTGAGTACTGTGGGCTCTACCGAAGTACCACGACTGTATCTCTTCAGTAGGTCAAGGAAAAGATCTTGAAATAACCAGTGAACGTGGTGAACCACTGGCAGGTACGTACCGCAACTGGACGTCACTGCAATACAACAGCGCTGACGGTCGGACGAAAACACAATCAGCGCTGTTGTGTGCGGATACGGGTGGACAATGATGGTGTTCTTGAAGAACATGGGATCAGTACTGGCGAAAAAGCAGGCGGAGTAGTCGTATACACGTGCTTGGCATTGAACAATGAGACCAGATGAGAATGGCACACAGCCATTGCAGGTATACACAGAACCTACCATCACTTGTGAGGTCATGAAGGCTCTGTGCACCTTCAATGGCTGTGTGCACTCGGGAAACAGGGAGAGAGCAAGGATATCCTTCTGATAGCGGATGGACAAGCCGAGCTGTAGAACCATACGCACGCAGAGCGGAGCTTTCTCACCGACTTTGGTGAAGGCAGTCAGTGAACGGACGAACTCCTCTTCACTCATCTTGTATTCCCTGGCAATGCCATCAGGGCGGTGGGGGAAGACGTTGGACGAGTACATAAACCCGATCACGTCCTGCAGGAGCCAGCGAGGCTGATGAACCACCAGATCATTCAGCTCTGGGAATGTGATGACCTTTAGCAGTTTCAAAGGCATACCACATACACACACACACACACACACACACACACACACACACACACATACACACACATACACACACACACACACACACACTCACACATACACACACACACACACACACACACAAACACACAAACACACACCCACATACACACACACACACGTACACATAAACACAACAGAAATGTAGATCAAGTACAAAGAAACGTCTATTTCCCTCTCTTATCTCTTATCCGGCACTTGTTTATCCAGAACTCTTGCAAACCAGCCCATTTTCCGGCGAAACGGATTTTTCAGTTCAGTTTTGACGCTTTAATCCGGCACTTGAATTGCGGCTCCCGTAGCGATTTTCTGCAACAAATCGCTCCAACTGTACATATTTCGATTTTATAATCCAACAGTTGTACATCGCATACCGTACCCGTGCACAGCTATGTTAGTTTGGTGAGTGCATGACATGCATGAACTAACTTATCATGTAGCTTTCTACACATGTAACATACCCTTGCAACTATCCTATGCATTGTATAGACATGCATTCCACAAAGTAATTAGATTGACACAGAATTCTCTGTGTTTTAACTTACAACACAAACATGTATGTAGGTGGGCCAGGTTGGAGAGCAGGATTTGATAATCCAGCACCCTTGTTTATCCAGCAGAAAATGCTGCTGCAAAAGGTGGCGGATTAGAGAGGGACAACTGAAGTTAAATTTTGACTCCCAATATCTATTGTATAAAGCTCAAATATACAACCTAACGGCCTATTGGTGTGCATACAGCAACAGGTTTTGGGTTACATTTTGCAATGGACTTCAGTATTTTCCATCAATTCATGGCAAACTTCTCATTTTCTCTTATGTGGGCATAGTTTCTCAACAGAATGTCTCCAGTTCTTACTCATCATTCAATTCTACTTGGTCCGCCCAGTTAAAATTGGCGCCTATCTTCACACTTGTCTCAGGAAAGAAATACGAATATTTGAAGCAAGCCACGATCACAAAGCACTATATACATGATTATTTACATGTCAGTAAGCAACTCAGTCGAAAATTCAAGCAAGTTACAAATCCTCCTCGCCACTATCGTCGCTGGAGGAAGAGCTCAAAACGTACGATCCGGACAGCTGCTGCACGGGTCGTTTCATAGCTTGTTCCACTTCTCGTCTCGAATCACGCTCAAAGGCAGTGCGTGCCTGTCACCTTCCCATCAGAAGCTGAGTGAGACTGCCCGCATGTTGACTGTAAGTGTTATCCCCGTTCGTCGCAATAATGCGACTTTGTTTGAGACAAAAAGGCAACGCCATATCAGTGTCCTTTTTTCAAATCGCCTCTTGCGCTTGTCGTACTTGCTGATCAGCACCCCTACCCACGCGAGCCGCTGGTGCTTGTACATGCAGCGCAGTGATAGCTTCCGCTTGATGTAGCACCTGTGCGTACTGCACCTACAACGCCGTGCACCAGGCTTTTCGGCTAGTTTCCTGAAAGTCCTTTGCACGAGTGTTTCTCTCAGGACTTGGTGTTTCCTTTGATTAGCTACTTTGCCCTGTCCTCTGTGAGCTTCAAAGTGTGTCCGCCGGATTGGTCTCACTTACTGGAGACATCGACATGAGCTGCAGTTCCTTCGTCAACGATTTGCTGGTGATAGCCCTTCACCAGGCGCTGTACTGTGCAAGCACTGAAATTCAAGCTCGCGAAGCGCTTTTTCAGCTTTTCTATACCTCCCCGGGGTAAACAATCCTTGCCATCAGACAGCTGGAAGTAGACAGAAACTGTATTTTCCATCGCTCTGAAATGCGAACATCCTGACCTATTTTACGGACTCGAGCGGAGGTTGCAGTGTTTTCTTGCGCTGACGGAAGTGTTCGTCGGCGGCAGCTCCGTCAAAAAGACTCAAACGAACCGATCGCAACTTCTGTGATGGTTTGTGCTGCCATGTCGTCGGATGCAATGGTCAATGGTCATGTTCGGATGGTGAATCGGTGGTTCCATGCCGTGTGGCACAGGCAGAACACCAAAAAACCAAGTGAGAAGATAAGCGCCAATTTTAACTGGGCGGACCAAGTACAACTACAATTTTTCTCTTTCCAGAAGGCAACAATCTCCTCAAAAGAGCTTCATTACCTAGAGCACCATGGAGGTTTTGTGTGTGTGTGTGTGTGTGTGTGTGTGTGTGTGTGTGTGTGTGTGCGTGCGTGCGTGCGTGTGTATGGTTCATGAGGTTCTCGGAGAAACACAAACCAAATTGGCAGGGTGACATGTTTGTCAACTCATCCGAGTTGGGCGAAGACATTAGCGAAATCTAGAATGTAACACATGGTGCAGGTCATAAGGGCACCCAGCCGGCAAAGTTTCAAAACCTTCAAGTCATAATGGGCTTTGAGAATAGCAAACCTCCATGTGAACAAGGAAATTCAAATTCAAACCTCGATCTTTTCTGTGTACCATACTAAATAAACACACAGAAATTCAACATCTCATGTCAACATTGCTATACATGCATTGCTCTTACATATCCGTAAGCAGTCAGGACGCGTAGAAAGCTGTCGATCTGCTCAGTGAGTCGTTTCGGCAGTGCCTCTTTGGTTCCTTGGATTGCCTTCTTGAATGCCGCAACAAACTCGGCTCTTGAACAGTATGGATTGGGCATCGATGCCTGAACCTCATCCAAATGCTTCCGAGCCTTCTGCAGCAAACGCGGTTGCTTTGGGGACTTCTGCAGACAAAGTTGAAATAGTACGAAATAGAGGCAGCGACTTTGGCAATCATTTAATAGGAAAGAGTTTGCTTGCTATTAGGGAGTTCGCGCTTTTCCCCCCACTTGACTTTACAATTGATTGACTCACAACAGCCAGAGGAGGAACGGGAAATGAGCAAGGTTGGAGTGGGGGGGGGGGGGGGGGGGGGAGGTGGATTGGCTGCTCGACCAGCTACTCGAGCAACACTCAGGGCAGAGGAAAATGATCAAAATTGGGAAATGAGAAATCTTACCGCCAACACTCGATTGATCAAGTGCATGAATTCACTTCTTAGATCATTCATGCTGGAACTGTTGGACTTTCTAGCGTCCACTACTCTCACAATGGAGAGATCCAAGCGCTGAGAGAATGATTTCATTCCCCTCCTTATGGCCTTCTCCACTTCAATGCGCTTTTCTGGTGTTAGCTGGTCAGCTCGTGTGGCAATTGCGATGACATCAAGTTTCTCCGCCTGTTGCAGATCTTCCTGGTGGTGGTGGTGCCGCTGCTGCTGTTCTTGTTCTTGTTGCACAGTCGGTAGAGAACCTGATAATGCAAGAAGACAAAGTGATGCAATTGCTAATGACAAGGAATACCAGTCCATGAATACACAATTAGTCAATCCAAGAAAGCAAAGTATTCCCTTTTCTTTCTTGTATGCCAGAATGGAGAAGTTAGTAAGTCTCTTCATCCTAAGTTCATGTCTTGTAATAACTAGTTTGAATGATATGGGCACCAGAGCAGGCTGATGATCAACTGTTTGTCATTTTTGGCATGTTTTCTACTGAGAAACCCTGTGATTGAACAGGACACTGGAAGGGTTTGTGCCTTTCATATTAACTTTGTGGCTGCTGGCAGGGATCTAGTTGCAGTATTCAAGATTGGCTGAATGGATCACGTGACAGGCAAGAAAATTATCCATTGCTATCCACTTACCATGATCAGGTGCAGACAGGCGACAAACTATATTGGCGGCAGTTGCACCGACAGTCTGTGTGATCTCATCAACACACTCTGTGCCGTCCACCACTATTGCGGCAACAGATGGTGCTGTCATGGCAACCGTGAATATGTCATGTGACTCGGTATAATGTTCTTGACCAGCAAAGTCGCGAAAATGCACCTTCACCTGCGATTGGTTGTAAATGGTTTCTTCAATTCCCTTTAATTATGGAACAGATAAAAACAAAATTAATGAGCAAGAGAACATTGTATGAATCATACCCAGCTCACCACAATCACACTGTTCTACAGCAACAGTATACCGTACTCGCGTCCAAAGAAGGCAAAAAACCAACCCTAATGTTGCCTGCAAACTATCATGACTCAGCAGAAACAGCAACAAGATCTACGATTTTGATCCTGAAACCACCAGGAAGGTGACATGGACAATTAAATTAGCAAAAGGACACCAAACTTGGCGGCACTATTCCAGAGAGGGCTCTAATCGCGCCAGTACGGTAGTTCTGGTAGTAATACAATGTGTATATAACATACATAGCAGTAGATTCATTTATTGATAGAAATACAACCAATCGGTAACTGATAATCACAGTACCTTTAGTCATGTATATCGCATACCACGATGACTTTATCAGCTATATATTCACAATTGTCTGGGTGGTAATTTGTAGATTGCTGATGCAATCTTCATTTGGTCCGTCAGTTTCTAGTAGTGGTAGATTTGTCTTGTGACCAGATAAGACCACACAACGCTTGCAGACACCAGCATGAACATTTCACCAGTCACATTTCATGGCTCTGTTCACCTCTCTTTCTCGTTGTGACTGGCTTAGCGTGGTTTTTTTGGACAATTTGGTCCTGTATGGTTCATAATACCTACATTCTGCACTTTCCCGTTCATGTTGATTTGTGTTTATATAGAATGAAACAAAACTGACCACTAACGATTTGGACTAACAATGCATTCATCCAAATTTCAATAGGTAGCACTTTGTGCATTCTACTTTTTTGAATTGCTTTCAGCTCACCTTTGTTCGGGATGCTAAATCTTTTGCCTTCAGGTCCAGTTGATTCTCCTGACGTAGTAGTTTATTGAAGAAACCTTCTGCTGTGAAGGATGAAATGAAGGTAGATTTTCCTGAACCTTCTGCTCCACACACGTTGGCAATCAGTTCAGTAGGATCAGTGTAACCCTCAACACCAAACTCTTCACGTATCAAGCTGGTCTGGAGCATACAAATGCAGCACACAACAACAATACCCAAAGCATGTAAGTTGAACACTGTCTAGAACTACAGTGTCGCTCGGTGAAATTCAACCAAAATTGCAAAGACGGCGGCGCCCTCGATCAGTTGTGATTATACAAGTAGTATTGCCCATATTTACATCCAGCTGCATTCGTGCCACTTCCAGGACACCCAGGGTCGTGCAAGTTGAGATTGCCAAATATGGACACGGGTCGAATTTCACAGAGCGTAACTGTAGATATTACAGTATATCCGCACAGCTGGACATTCATGTACACTAGACACTATCTTACATCTGACTATAGGCTAGTTGCTGTCAGGTTGTTCAATGTAACCAGTATTTCCACCCAATTATGAGGACAATTGATGTATGAGTCCATAGTGGGCTCAGGGAGCACAGTGTCAATATCCATAATCACACACAACTCAACACAGTCTGTCCAGGAATTCAGTGAGATTTTAGAGGAGAGTTTCTCACATTAGCTATCCACATTCTGTGTCGGTGCCCGCAGCAGAAATGAATGATCACTAATCTGACTGCTCTGCTTGCTACAACACCGACAGTACTAGAAGAGAAATATGTCTCCAGGTTTGGCTTCCACCAAATGGTGACATTCGACACTCATTACACCCCATATATCTTGTCATTGTATAGTGACTCTGTCGTCCCTTGCGATCCTGATCTACTCTTCCCCGTGACCTCTGTTGTTACTCTTGGATCATCTGCTATAAGCCAGAACATTTCAATAGCCAATTTCAGTGCCTACCACTGCTGGTGATTGTGAGCAATCAGCTCCGACCAGGTATCCCATTGCTGTGACAATACAATTATAGGGTTATCCCTGAGTGAGTTGCGGGTTCTATCAATACATAGCTGTCAATTGTTGCCTGGAGACTCGGATGACGATCAACAGGGACATTGATAGTGATCTTGCCAGCTCTCTGTCCATCATTCACTTCATCATTGCAATGTTTTTGAGTGAATTCATCAAGAAATCTAGAAAGACCTCTCCCATTCTTTTTCTCTCTCTCTCACCCTCACTTGCATTACCTCTTCACTGCTTTTCATTCTTTCATTGCTTTTCGCTCCTTCTCTCTCATCCTTCCTCTCGTTCCCTAGTCGAATTGTGCGTGTTGATGTAACGCAATCTTGGGCTTCTCCTGTTCTCTCCTGTCTCCAATGAGGATCAATGCTACTCCAACCGCCCCCCCCCCCCCCCCCGCCACCCACCACCACACCTACCCTACCCACCCCCACAACCCCGCTTTTAGCATGTGAGATGTAACTATTACTTGTTGTCATCCTGTTTGCGCTGAACGTCTCCTCATTGGCCTTCCCTAACCTGAGCTTTCCACCTTGGAACGTTATTGGCTTTTCGCTTTGGAGATATGTTGGACCTAGGTGTCAGAGTGTTGAATGTCTCAGTATCTTGTCAGTCTTGTGCCTTGTCACAGCTTCTAACTGTATTTCTATTTGATCTGGTTACATCGGTAGGTCATTACTCCCAACACATACCAATTATTCATTCCTGTGATCCACAAGCAAAGAGTTAGTAATCCTATAATTATAACGACATGTTTTACCTTAATCAAGTCCAATGCTTGCGGTTCTCCGCGGGTTTGAGCTATCCTTCTGGCTTCCTCCACAATCTCCTTTGCCTGGATTGGAAACATAGAACCAATATTGGTATAGCGATACACTCTTCAGTGTCATCAATTTCACTGGTCACAATAACCATCACATATCCAAAATACCACAGAAAACACACCCGCCATTTTACTTCTTACACCGTATATAGCACAGGTACACAGTAAGAAATGATAGAACATTCTGTGACTGCTCAATACTTAACATCATGCTCAAAAGAAGTTGACTAAAGTGAAGGGTAAACAGAGATGCACTGTACACGATGATGCCACTCAACACACCTTGAAGTCGACAGTGAGGAAATAGACTAGAGAAAAACGCATGCTAGTCTTTTCTAACGCATTTAATCTGCAGAAAGTACTCTTTCATCATATTCCAACCGGCTTCCATAGAGATCGTCCATGTTATCCAACCTTATGTAAAGCTACCTGTTTGAGGAATAAAAATCATATCAAACTGATAAGAACTTGTGCAGGTGAGGGGTGGAGTGTAGTTCCAGAGCAAAGGTTTTCACAGTAACCGAGCATGTTTTTATAGACAAAACTGGTAGACCTATTCATCACACAACCTACTTTTTTCAACTCTTACCTCATCATATGCTAGCTTGATCCAGGTGACTTCCAGCAAGTAGGGTACACAATCTGCTCCCCCACAGTACACTGCTTCACTAAGAGGAGTTCTCCCATTCTAAACACAGCCATAGCAGCAACAACCAAACCGACATGTTGATATCACGAGTGCCTGTACTCTACTGGAATTGATGACAATTGCCATATCGTAGAATGGATGGATCCTGTGCGGTCAACATCAAGCAATCCTTTCCCATATCTCTGAAAGCAATGTTGCCATCTATGACCAGAACGATCCACAATAATTGTACCGTATTCTCGTGCTCTACAGTTATGTAAAAAGGCGACGTGGAGACAATAATCTTAATAATGCAATGAATAAAACTATATGCGCACTCATATCACAACCATAGCAACGAAAAAAGTATTCCAGAACATTTTCTTGTCACAATTATCAATGGAATTCGTGACGAAAGACAATGATGAAACTACAATAGGATTTATACACTTGGAGTGAAAAAACACGAGGATACACAAATTCGACGGGTTCGCGTACCGGGCAGGTCAAGAACAAGGAGTCGTGCAACTCCCTGATCAAGAACCACCTTCCGCTTCCGTGGGACGCCACCACCCCATGATCAGGCGTCAGATGCGGCTCCTAAACGGTGGGGGAGGATAGATCAGATCCACCAACCATAGGCCAAAGGCCTAAATCCCATTTGCCACATCCATGTTTTACTTATGCCAGGCCACGAGTTCCCAATTAACTGTGGGTCGCAGCATGGTTGGAAAAATCCTTCCGCTTCCAAGCAAGGCTTGAACCTGGTACCTCTCGTTTCTCAATAATGGTCTTTGACCAACTCACTGAATAGTAAGAAAAATTGCACAACCTTCGGAACAATTTGCACCGGTAATATAAACTATATCGGTGAGAAATGATAGGAAATTCAGCAAGTGCAGTGTGGCAATGTACAGGCATGTTCAAGTGTATGTGAGTGTGAATGTAATGGAGGAGTGTAAGTTCGGTGACATTTTCTTTTTGTTTACAAAGACTTGGGTCACGAATGCGAACGTCCTGGAATACTCTATTCGTCGCTATGGTTGTGATATGAGTGCACATCAAGTTTTATTCTCTACAGTTATAATGTTCATTATTTTTTGCTGTGTTTTCTAACAGAAACCATTCTAACAGTATTTTGCAGATATACATGGGAGTCTTGTCACATAGAATAATTGCTGTCTGTATAAGAGCTTCAAGCCGCATGATGAACTGGAAGATTGCAACGGGAAACCATGCGAATCCTCCAGGTGCGCATGAAGCACAGAATCTGCCTGATTGCCGAATGGGTGGCCAGAGAGCAGAATGGACTCGCGAACTATTATTCGAAAATAGTTGACACAGATGACTGGCGGCTGAGCCCGGCTGTTTTTGAACAAATCGAGCGTTTGTGAGGTCCCCATACACTAGATTGCTTCACAAGTCTGAGGACCAAACAGATAAAGCATTTCTGTTCATGGTGGTGGAATCCGGGATGTGATGAGATCGATACTTTTATGGTTGATAGGTCAACAGTAATTGTGTGGCTTACATCACTGTTCCACCTAATACCCAGGGTTTTGAGAATCTTTTAAAATGTTCTGCAGCCATGGCACATAATGCTACACCATGAGGAAAGCACATTTCTCGAAGGTACCTGCCCGCACAACTTGCTGGGGGAGGGGCAAGCATAATTTTTCAGAAATGCTGGCTTTAAGACTGTGCATGAGGATTAACAGTTGCTGATTTGTGTACTGACACAATTGCTATGGCTGTGTGGCGCGAACACATGTGAGTGCACGGTGCGCGGGGCATTGTCCTATGTTGGTGTTCAGGGAACATCGTTGCCTGCAGGCAGGAGGCAGATGCCGCTGACAATGTCTTTGCTCGCAAGGTGGGTGGATGCTGCTGCTGGTGATGCCAATGACGATGTCGTAGCCCGCAGGGCGGGAAGATGCTGCTGCTCATGCTGTTGCTGACCAACATGGTGGCTCAGAGTCCCCATCGGTAATGAGCGCGTAATTCTCTTCAAGTGCTGCTGATAGCTGCTGTAGATGCTGAAGCCAATGCTAACGCTGACGACGTCGCTGACAGGCTCCTCACATTATGATCTTGTGTTCATGCCTAGAGCTGAGGGCGGTTCAAACGCAGCCAACCCAGGAACTCATGAACCTATCCAGGAAGATTCTAGAAGTCATGCTGGCGAGTAGGGCACTGGGAACGGTCACCAAGTATTAATCGACATTTCAGCGCTTGCAAGAGTGGGCTAGCAGACAAAGGATCCCGAGTATTCTTTTTCTTCTTGCTGTTGCTGCTGTCCCCGCAGAAGAGAGGGTTGATTGTTGCTGATGTTGTGTGTGTGTGTGGGGGGGGGGGGGGAGGGGGGGGGGTGTGTGTGTGTGGGGTGTGTTAGGGGTGTGAGAATATTATGGTGTGGCTGCACACAGGAGTGAGAAAGAGAGTAGAAAAGAAGAGTCAAACTGGTCCTAAACTAAGACACCGCGCACAGCAGATCTCCAAGACGTTGGGCATCAACACATCGTTCAGCAACCGTGGCGGGCCAGGAACTACATCTTCCTGTTGCTCCAACCCAAAGAAAAAGAATCGGCGTCCGATCTCCAATTGAAGTCCTACATTTTAACTCCTGCAAGCATCCTTGCGGCATGACCCGGTTTCAGAAGTAAACACCGCTTTGAAGTGAGTGACGTCTTCTGGATGAAGAGTTTCCAACCAATTGCTCCAAGTACGTAACTTGAACAATGCAGCTGTTGACGACGGTCCAGCCGCCGTCAGCATAGTGACGGAAACGTTTTGAAATTAAAATCTCTAAACTAAATTATGTCAGTGTCGAACACGTTACGTTTGGCAAATAAAACCACCATGCAACAAATCCTACTCGATCGAGTCTACTCGAAACAAAGGACCGAAATGTCTAGCCGGCCAGAGCATAACCTGGAGCAGGAAGAAAGAGCCTTGGCTTTGGCACAACTTGAAGTGCGAGCACGTACATGTATATCCACATGCGTATGATGTACATATACATGAGTGCATACAACAAAGAAGTATCGGTCTCTGCTCAAAACAGAGGTCGTCGGTCTTGTTACACGAAACTAAGGACTTTTTCGATGCGGGCTGATGTAGGGAATCTAGATTCTAGTCAGTCATTGGCCAAAGTTGCACACTCTTGTGTTATACACCCATAATAATTACAGTGCCAGAGAATATTTGACTCACTGTGTTCTTCACGGAAACTGTGTAGGGTTGGTGATTTAGTAGATACTTGACCGTGTCCAGATGTCCCTCCATAGCAGCGTAATGAACAGGAAGGTCACCGTCCTGTGTGGAGGCAAAGACAAGATCATACCTCAATATATGTATTATCTACCTGCAGTCTGTATCTTACATACCAGTATGATGTACAATCTACTGTCAGTCAAGGGATCCTAATATAGACTACTCTGATTGATCAGCTGGAAATGTTCCTCCTAGCTACTACCAGAAAATCTAATGCAACACAGTAGCACCTCGCTATGAATGACAGTGTCTTCGAAACACAAACACAAACACTTACATAATAATCATGCGATTGAGAAGTGACCTGCATGATATAGGGAATGTACCATGTGATCAGTCATTTGTCAAATGTGCACACTCTTGGAGTGTGGACTCGGGACCATTACAGTGACAGAAATTGCTTGTCTAGCCGGCCAGAGCATAACCAGGAGCAGGAAGAAAGAGCCTTGGCTTTGGCACAACTTGAAGTGCGAGCACGTACATGTATATCCACATGCGTATGATGTACATATACATGAGTGCATACAACAAAGAAGTATCGGTCTGTGCTCAAAACAGAGGTCGTCGGTCTGGTTACACGAAACTAAGGACTTTTTCGATGCGGGCTGATGTAGGGAATCTAGATTCTAGTCAGTCATTGGCCAAAGTTGCACACTCTTGTGTTATACACCCATAATAACTACAGTGCCAGAGAATATTTGACTCACAATTCCCTTCACGGAAACTGTGTAGGGTTGGAGATCTAGTAGATACTTGACGACTTCCAGACGTCCACCCTGAGAAGCGTAATGAACGGGAAGGGCACCGTCCTGTGTGCAGGCAAAGACAAGATCATACCTCAATATATGTATTATCTATCTGCAGTCTGTATCTTACATACCAGTATGATGTACAATCTACTGTCAGTCAAGGGATCCTAATATAGACTACTCTGATTGATTAGCTGGAAATGTTCCTCCTAGCTACTACCAGAAAATCTAATGCAACACAGTAGCGCCTCGCTATGAATGACAGTGTCTTCGAAACACAAACACAAACACTTACATAATAATTATGCAATGGAGAAGTGACCTGCATGATATAGGGAATGTACCATGTAGTCAGTCATTTGCCAAATATTCACACTCTTGGAGTGTGCAATCAGGACCAATACAGTGACAGAGACTGCTCGACTCACTTTGTTCTTTACGGAGACCGTGTCGGGTTGGAGATCTACTAGATACTTGACCACGTCCAGATGTCCGTTGTAAGCAGCGCGATGAACAGGAAGGGAACCGTTCTGTGTGCAGGTAAAGACAAAACAAGACATTCGCATGTGTTATCTATCTACAGTCTGTATCTTACACAATTATGATGTATAACCTACTGTGACTAAAGTTTTACATGTTATCTGTAGTTACCCAGCTCTAAGAATTATAAGCATGATTCTGATTAGTCATAACGTGTAAAAGTTAGCACAATAGTGACAGCTGTGGTACTTGTCGTGTCATGCTATGTATTATGCGTTTCTCTTGAGCACGTGTAACCCTTACATAACGTGTACACAAGTTACGTGTACCGCAACATGTACACGCCCGCGCAGTACCTCTTACAGCTGGGGTCTGCTGATGCCACATTAAAAAAAGGTTTCTCCTTCATATTGCCTGTGAATCAACAATACAATAGTATCCTAATTCCTAAAGAACCTGAATACTACATGGTGTCAGAAGTGCTAGAAGTTGCGGAATTACTACGATGTTGGTATATGGGAGGTGCTTTATGCAGGTATCAGTGCCGGGTAGGAGAGTCACCAATAGTCACAGGTACTTTTGGAGCAAATGATCAGTGGGGTTGCTGTTGTTTCAGCCTGATATTCCCCACCAATAGACATACAGCTAGCATAGTGATCCTCAAGAGTGCTGTAAGAGTAACTGACTACAGCAAGGAGAGTCAATGGTAGAGATTGCTCAACTTATATGCATGGGGGGGGAGCCTAGTCAGTAACAGTTACTGACTTTACAGTTAACAGTTAGAGGCAGTAGCAGTTACTGACAAAGTTACTAACTTTGTATGCCAGTGTATGAAGGGGTCCAGAATATGGAGAAATTCAGGCGGTAAGAGCTTGGAGGCCAGTATTTAGAATTGTTTTTTTATAAGGCAGCTTGATATTGCTTTGTTAGCCAGAAGGTATTTATTCTTTTTCAGACCAGTGTGCAGTTTTGGTGCTGAGTGAGCTTGTAACTGGGTCCACGCGGGTTTCTAATGATAGTGTATTATGCATGCCTCTGAATGAGACATTTATGTGGTCATAAGCAGAATTAGCGAGGCGGACATTGCACTTATCAAAAACGAAATAGAACATTAATTCCCGTAGCTATGCAAGGTCCACACAGCTTTAATTCTGTGTTTGTTTGTTTGTTTGTGCCATCGGCATGCTTGGCGCTATCCCGTACCTGTCCCGTACGTACTGTACCACGAAAGACAGCCGGCTACAATATTCAAAAAGGGCTTTCAAATGCAAGATCAGAACGTGAAGCAACTTGGAAGAATGAGTATGTATGCGAAGTGTATCGGGGAATGCATGGAGGGCGATAGTGCGGGTTCTAATCCTAGGTTATGTCTTGGGGAAAAAAGGAGAAATGAACAATTTATAACATCCCTATCCATGTTCTGCCTAGGTCATCAAGGTGGTAGATGGTGTCGTATTACTCTCGAATGCAAAGAGAAAGGCTATTTCTTTCGCGCAGGGCCCTATGCTATGCTTTTTTTGGCTAGCTCATCATGCATGTAATTCGAACAGACAGAATTTTTTTCCAATGCAATGATGTAGCCGATCAGTTCGTTGTGGTATGGTTGGGCATTGTAGCTGTCATACTCGACGTAAAACATTATTTACATACACAAGCTCGGGGAGCAAAAATCTCTTTGTCCCATAAGCTGCCACATACCAACTAAATACAAAACCATGCACTTCACACGAGCTGACTTGCACACGTGGCCCTTTTCACGAACCCAGACAAAGGGATTGGTCTATTATAACGCATGTACGAAGTCACTAGATTACACCCGCACCAGAGATGAAGGCGAGAGCTGTGGCTGAAGAACGGCAAACGGAAAAGATGCCTGGCGCTATCCCGTACCTGTCCCGTACCGGACCATCAAAGACAGCTGGCCACAATATTCAAATGAAAAATAGGGCTTTCAAATGCAAGATCATAACATGAAGCAACTTGGAAGAATGAGTATGTAAGCGAAGTGTATCGGGGGAATGTATGCAGGGCGATAGTGTGGGTTCGAATCCCAGGATATGTCTAAAGAAAATAGGAGAAATGAAAAATTTATAACTTCCCTATGCTTTTTTGTCTAGGTAAATCAAGGTGGTAGATGGTGTCGTATTACCCTCGAGTGCAAAGAGAAAGTTTGATGTAGCCAATCAATGGAAAAAAAATTCCATCAGTTCTAATAACATTCATGATGAGCTAGGCAAAAAAGCATAGCGTAGGGCCCTGAGCTTCTAAGCTCTCTCGTTTTGGAGTTCTAGATTTTCTCAACCAGTTTTCATGAGGCCTTCATCAGGGAAATACGTCTCAACAATGATAACTAGCCATGCATACAACTAATACTTATATAAATGTGTCAAGGAACAGGGAAAGTGCAAAGATGTCAAGTTAGTGTGAACTAATGACACGCGTACGTGGAGTGAAAAACCAAAATAAGAGGGTAAATAATCACAACGCTTGAGGTAAATAACAGTGCAAGAGAGTGTAGAGTGAAGGTTGTACGTCGCGTATATGTGTGCGTGTATGTGTGTGCGTGCGTGCGTGCGTGCGTGTGTGTATTCATCAGCCTTGCAAGCTTTTGAATGGTGCAATCCCAGCACAAGTTGCTATGTCTAACAAAGCTGTTCACTATCATCGCTACCGCGACGGGCATGGCTGAGTCTGAGTCTGAGTGTGTGCATGTGTGTGTGTGTGTGTGTGTGTGTGTGTTTGTGTGTGTGTGTGTGTGTGTTTGTGTGTGTGTGTTTGTGTGTGTGTGTTTGTGTGTGTGCATGCGTGCGTGTGTGTGTGTGTGTGTGTGTGTGTGTGTGTGTGTGTGCTTTATTACCATGGCCATTAAGGGCGTTGTCTATGGAGTGACTGTCCTGGCCGTCCTTCTTTATGGCTCTGAGAGTTGGACCGTTAGGCAGCGTGATGTCCGTCGCCTGGAATCCTTTCATCTGCAGTGCGTGCGTTCCATCCTGAAGGTCAATCGTGGCTGGCAGATAGAGGAGCACATCTCCTCTCTCCAGGTGTGCAAGATGTGGGGCTATATGAAGGAGATCGCGGATAAAGTCAAAGTCTGCCGACTTCGATGGCTTGGCCACGTGTCCCGCATGCAGGATCGAATCCCTCGTCAGCTGCTGTACGGCTCGTTACCGTCCAAACGTCCACCGCATGGACCCCATAAGCGCTGGAAGGACTCCGCAAAGTGCGACTTGATGGCTGTTAGCGTTCCTCTGGAGCAGCTTGGTGACATCGTCCAAGATCAACAGGGATTGCGGGCCACTTGCCGTGACGCTATTGTCCAGTCCCGCATGGAGCCTGTGGCGAAGCCCCTCATCTGTGGCACTTGTGCGCGCAGTTTTCGTCGGCCACAGGATATTGCGAGGCACAAATGTAACGCTGTTCGCGCAGCCCGCGCGTGCTGAGTCTGGCATTCCCCGCCCTGTGTACAACACGTCTCCTGGTCTGCCCCTGATGGGGCCACGTAGCCAGTCATGGCAGTGGAAGAAGGAAGGAGGAAGGAAGGAAGGTGTGTGTGCGTGCGCGTGTGTGCGTATGTGCCGTGTGTATGCATGTAATGTAGTTATGTGTGTGTGTACGCGTGCATGTGTGTGCATGCGTGTGCGTACGTATGCATGTGTGTGTGTGTGTGTGTGTGTGTGTCTGAAAGCTACGTGAATAGTTTATAAGTTAAGTGACAATATCTTTCTGGATGGAAAGGTTGGGGTTGTGCTTCCTAATGATTACAGCTACCAATACTTTGAATTCACACAATCTACGTGTGCGCCATAAAGCGGTGAAACACAATTCATCATCATCTGAACCGCATTGACTATAGGACACCCGGTATTTCTTTCTGACTCTCATCTTCCATCTGGTAACCCTAAGGCTCTGCATCCAAGTCTTCCTGTCCGTCTTTACGAGTACTTTCTTCGGCCATGGTCTCTGGTCTAAGTATTAGAGCTCCAGGAGGAGTCCAGACAAGTTTCTGTTTTGTGGAAATACAGAGAAAGATCGCTCACAACGCCCATCGAGAAACTCCACTTGTCGCTCTTGTGGAAAGGAGGGTCATTTCGCTAGAGTGTGTCAGTCCAAGAAGCCAAGGCCGACACAGCAGGAGATGGCCTCTGTCTCCAGTGAACCCGAAGTGTAGGTTTTGGGTTCGGTCGACGGTGATGGGCCATGGATGGCCACCGTATCCCTGAATGGAACACCGGTGTTGATGAAGAATGACACAGGGGTCAAGGTAACGTTCATACCGTCATCGTTGCTGAATACACTCGAATGCTGTGATGAAGAGCATACGAACTCTCACCAGCGCCAGTAGCACGAAGCTTCAGGTTGATGGTGTCCTAAGCACACCCTTGTCAGTCGGTGAAGAGTGCTCAGTATAAGACGTGTGTGTTGTCACTAATGTCCGACAAGCCTTGCTGGGACGACCCGACATCATTGGCCTGAACCTGTTGAAGGTCAACCCGAATGTCGCAAAAGTTGTGGAACAACATGTCGATTGGCTCAATGCTGCGAAGTTCAAGCTTCCCGAACTGTTCTAGCCACTGGGCAGATTCTCTGGGGATCCATACAAGATAAGCCTAGTTAATCAGGCACAACCGTTTGCCCTACCTTGTCCTCGTCATGTTCCATTGCCGCTTATGGATGAGGTCACGAAAGCCTCCGACTGGTGTGTCCCCTTAGATGTGGTACCGAAACCTTCTGGTGCTGTGTGTCTCTGCGCGGATTTGACCGAATTGAACAAGTTTGTTCATCGTGAGTAACGTCCGCTACCATGTGTAGACCACACGCTAGCCCAGCTCAGTGGAGCAAAGTATTTCACGAAGCTAGATGCCATCTGTGATTCTGCCAAGTGCCGTTGGTGGAAGAATCGCAGCCGTTTACGAATGTTCATTACACCATTTGGAAGGTTCAGGTTCACCCACTTGCCACTTTGGGATTTGTTGAGCACCAGAGCATTTCCAAAAGAAGATGACCAGTACCCTGAACAGCGTTCCAGGAACCACATGCCAGAAGGATGACG